GATTGGTCCATTTCGAAATAATTTTGATATGTATTTTACAGATTGCGGCCATCAGAGGCCAGACTGTACAGGGTGGAAGTCGAAGTCGACTGGGTATTGCTCTCGTCTCGTATGATATGATGCTCTCATGATTTCCTCCACGCGGGGTTGGCCATCAACATTATAGGCCGACGTTGAGCTCGCATGTACATTTCGTGAAATTTGGGGTCGGCATCGGATCGAATGACGCTACCAATGGACATGAAGAAGCTATAGGGCCATGGTTAGCACTCGTGTAAGTCGTTGGTGTCTGTGTCAGAAATACCCAAAAGTTGCTCCGGAGCCAAGCATGTATTGACCAAGGGTTCTCATAATGCCGTTAGGGCCGGCTCCGTACCGGAAAATGTTGACAGTTCCTGGTCATCATTAGTTATGACCTCAGAGCTGAGACAGCGCATCCGATTGCAGACGAACCAAAGACAAAACCCATGATGACACCAACAGCTATGCCATGTTAGTATCTTTCATAGCGAACAAGAGTTTAACGAGGAGTAGGCCGTACTTCCACCCATCATGGCACCCATCTTGACTGTGAACTTGTTAGCCAACACCCAATGCCATGAGAATGATATCAGCCTACGTTTATCCACGTTGGAGGGGCCATGCTGGCCAGCATTGATAGGAGCGACGGGAGGCATTGTGAGCGCGGAAGGTCTCTACGCAAGGTTTTGGAGTTGCTGCGGGTGCTGAATTATCGATCGTGGTCGGCGAAGTTTGTTGAAGTGGCACAGCGCAAAGTAGAGCAATTGCTGATGAAGCTCTCTTCATACGACGACTTTCCTCGAACCCGAATGACCTCCCGAGGCTTACTCTCATTGGTTAAATGGCTAAAGTGGAATCAGGGTTCGGAGAAAGGTCGGTGCGGGACTCGAGACACGGATCATCCTACCGTACAGTGCGGGATAAAATAGTGACATATCTTTACTGTGAAGAAATCGTCACGTGGTCCCTCTCGTGGGTCAAGATATGGCTCCACAAGGCGGCTCCGACTCGCAAGAGGGATTTGATGGGTTGTGTTTTTTTTCAGACAATTCTCTTTCACTTACAAGACAATCTCTGACACTCAAGCCTTTGTTTCTTATGGTGCTGGCGTTATGCGAGCAGTGAGCACATGCCAGAGTCTTTGGGCGTGTGCTCCACTGTGCTCTGTACTCCGTGTGCCTGAGCTGAGAGTTGTCGACCGGGGGCTCCAAATTTGAACACGCCAACACGCCAAGCAGCGCTTAGCGAGCGAGACCTCCCCCATACTGTCACTGTTACGGCAACCTCTCATCAACTCATTCACGGCCCTGAAGCCTTCTAAACTATCGTCTCTTGCGACGCGAAACCCTATTCCGACATCGCGATATCCTCGTGCTTGGTGAGTGAAGCACCCATCTTGGCTGTCGCTGGCCCGACTCGCCTCTTGACCTCCTGCCCCTGGTCCGACGGGGTCATCGCCGATCGTCTCAATTCTTCATTACCAAAACCTGTTCCCAGCCACGAGCTCATGATTTTTCTTGTCCACCAGCAACGTCAAGCCACCTTGAAGTATTCAAATTCCAATCGTATTTCATCAAAACTACAACGTTTTTCTTCGATCCCGCCATCATAAGTCCATTCACCCTCCGACTTGCCGGTGGAGTGACATCAGCCTCGTAGGCGCGCGAGCCGCACACGTCTGACTTCCGTATCCGGCATCTTTATATCTTCGACGCTGCGTTTATCGGCCGCAACACGCTGAGCATCAATTATCCTCATGACTGCAGTCGCAACCCCACAAACCTTCTCCGCGTCAAGACCAGCATGGGGTCCGATTAACGGCAACCATCAAATGAATTCGGAAGAAGGTCGAGGTGGTATTGGCATGTTCGCGCCCCGCAAGACCCTTACTCGATCCAACTCATCGTCGTCTGTTTCCTCGACATCTTCGAACTCATCTGCTACCACAGTTGCCTCGAACGGCTCTCACGCTAATGGCGGCACTCCATTGTCTTCAACTTCAGATTTGACCCAATGGTCGGCTAACGGCGCACCTCGAAAACGGCCCCAACCGAAAGCCCCCTGGCCGCCAGCAAAAGGGGAATTTCAACAACAGGACATGTCTAGACTGCCCGCTGGCAGAGGTCAAGGCATGATAACGGCCCATGGGCCTGTACAGGCCGGCCCTGGCCAGGTTCAGATGACATCTCAAGGAATGATGCGGCCCATGAGTGCCGAACAAGTTCCTCCTGGCCAACCGGTTCTATATCTATTATCACTCAACGGTACCTTTGAACGGAAAACAATCGCTGTGCCTTTTGCCCCCGAAAGCCTCCGTATAGGCCGACAAACAAACCAAAAGACCATTCCGACCCCAACCAACGGTTTCTTCGACAGTAAAGTGCTGTCCAGACAACATGCTGAAATTTATGCGGAACGCAATGGCAAAATTTATATACGAGATGTCAAGTCCTCAAATGGAACCTTTGTCAACGGGACTCGTCTATCACAGGAAAATCGCGAATCCGAGCCGCATGAACTGCAGACCTCCGACCATCTCGAGCTTGGCATCGACATTGTTAGCGAAGATCAGAAAACAGTCGTCCATCACAAAGTGGCTGCCAAGGTTGAGCATGCTGGCTTTCTTAGCGCATCGAGCAATGTCATGGATATGAACTTCGGCGACCTCGACCCAGCTAATGGCGCTATGATGATGCCTTCAGGGCCTATGCAGCTGCGAGGGCGCACTAACAGTAATGCATCTATGGCCAGCAACGGTCGGATGATGCCCAATGGCGCCGGTGTTATGAACATGCAAGCCAACGGAATGGCACAACAAAGACCATTCTTTCTTACCCCTGTTGCTACTGATCAAATATTAAAACGGCTTGCGGTACGTCGTCTCGAATCCGTTGCCATGATTAGGCTAATTCTTTCCAGAACGAAATGCGCAATGCTCGACTTCAAGCACAGGATCTGGGCCGCACTAATCAATTCGTCCACACATTATTGTCCAAAGATGACCTCAAGGACCTCGAGAAGCCCGAAGGCCTTGAACCCCCTAAACCCCAACCTATGGTAAATGGAATGGGGACACCATTCCGTGCCGACCCCAAAGCACGGTTTTCTGATCCTCCTGCTCCCCCTCCCCAACAGCCTCTTCCTGAGAAGCCTGATGTGCCTTCACTTAAGCGTGGCCCAACCGAGCGACCAAAGTCTGGTCCTCCCAACTCACCTGTCCGGCCTGATAACCTCAGCCAGATTGTTCAACTTACCGAGGCCCTCAACAACGCTAAGCGAGATATCGACTCACAAACAGCACGGATGCGGGAATTGGAAGAAATGCTGCAGAAGGAGAGGAGTGCACGAGAGGAAGCAGAAGAGCTCGCCAAGCGCTTGGAAGAATCCGCGACCGTGCATATGAATGGGTCAGCTGTACCTGGAAGCGTAGCTTCGGAAGAGGTGTCTGAAGCCACAGAAGACAAGTGTATCCCTGAAGCTCCTGAAGCAGAGGCCAATGAAGAGACCCCTGCTGTCGATGCTGCACAGGAGACAGCCGCTGTTCTTCAAAGTCGAATTGACATGATGGAGAGTCAGATGCGGGATATGAAGGAGCAGATGGAAGAGTGGAAGCAACGATGTGAGACTGTAGAGTCAGAGAGAGATGCTGATAGGAAGACGCTTGCCGAGATGGTCGTTCAGCTCCGCGCTGAGGAAGCACTTCGAGAAGCAGCTGAGAAGAAAGCTCGATCGAGGTCGAGGAAGCGAGACACTGATGCCGCTGGTGCTGTCGTTGGCGAGACTAACGTTGACTCTGGGGTTTCTAAAAGCGCCACTGGAGAAGCAGAGGTCGTCGACTCCGCTACTGCTGATGAAGCGTTGGACGCACCGACGTTGTCTCGGGCCAGCACGATCACACCAGCAACCCAAAAGGGTGTCGTGCGTGGACAAGACCAGCGCCTCCAAGCCGCGTTACCTTATGCCTCAATGCTTGGCGTTGTACTATTTGGCATGGGGTTGATGGCATATATCAATGGATGGCAGGCCGAGCCTCCCCGCCCTGAACAATGAACTGTGGGAGTACAAAGTGGACGAGCTACATGAGGAGGAAGCTGGGGAGGTGAAAGGATGGGACAGTTGTAAAAAGGGGATCACGACATTATATCTTCTCCGTCTTTGGGGGATTGTAACTTTTCATGAGCGGTATTCATAATGCATGATGCGGCCTGTCGATTTGGCCCATCAACGATGAGACGATACGAGACCAGACATGGACATAACCGAACTGAAACACATTTCATTTGTCACTCGCCCGTATTATATATCAACTTCTTTTACACCAACGGCTAGGACATAACAACAACATGGCATATGAGGCCCTTAGAAAGGGTAAAAAGCCTGGTTTGAGTCAGGCTTGAGGATACGGCGTTATCATTTCGTTTCTTTTGTGTATTCCTTAGTTTCTTATGGGGGTGCATCTTTAGGAATAGCGCATGTTGGAGCGAGCAGTGGGCTGCTGACACTATTTTAAGCCACTTTGCATATTTAATTTACTTGCCTGAATAGCTGGTCTAATAAGCCCGATGAGTTCTAGAACATGTGTTTGAGAGGCTGAAGGTATTTGCGTCATAGGAATGAGGGCGCATATTGGCAACTAATGAGGAATGGTTCCTCTGTTGCTCAGCATAACTCAGACCAACACAAATACAGAGTCAAACACGTCATAATACATTGTAAAGTGCCTCTTTCAGGCCTTCAGTGATAAGTCGCTAGCTCCGGACTTCGCACTCGGTTTCATCCTTCTAAGAGACGATCCACTACATTCCCGGCGCTAACCAGTTTTCGTATTCAGGTCATGATACTATTGGATGTGGTGTACTTGAAGCTGACGAGACGATATCAGAGTCCATAAACGAGGGTGTCAAGAGCAGTATAAAAGAGCCAGTTATTTCCTCTCAATATCAACACTTAGAGTCACTTCTTCTATAAACTTATCAACAATGGTGTCTCTATCTCGGGTGCAGCAGACCAACGCCTCGGCTGCTTCAAAGCTCCCAGCCGGTCTCGTCGCCGTCTTCGCTGGTGCAACAGCAGGTATTGGCGAGACAGCTCTCAAAGCATTTGCCAAATATACTACACAGCCCAAAATCTATTACATCGGCCGTTCTCAAGAGGCGGGTGATAGACTACAAATTGAGTTGAAGGAGTCGAATCCCGAAGGAGAATATGTCTTCATCAAGAAGGACATGAGCTTGTTGAAGAATGTGGATGAGGTTTGTCGAGATATCAAGAGCAAGGAGACAGTCTTGAATGTCTTATTCCTAAGTCAGGGGACACTAAGAATCGGTGTTGGCAAGTCTTCTATCGTCATCCAACTGCTACTTTGTGCATGCTAATAGACTTAGATACCGAAGAGGGGCTGCCTCTGGTCACCGGCCTAACCATCTACTCTCGCAACCGTCTCACAGTCAATCTCCTCCCACTGCTAAAGAAGGCACCGTCTCTTCGTCGTGTAATAAGCGTCATGGCTGGTACGCACGAGGGTAAGCTCTTCTCCGACGATATAGCAGCTCGCAACATCCCCTTTACCAGCATTCACAACTCCCGAGGGCACATGTGCTCGGCCCTGACTCTGTCCTTGGAAGCACTGGCTCGTCAAGCACCAGAAGTTTCCTTCATTCACAACTTCCCTGGCTCTGTTGATACAAACCTAATCCGCAGTGGAGACGGTTTCATGATGCAGGTTATGAAGTATTGGTTCAAGGTCAGCATGACTGTGAGGAGACAGTGGTTACCTAAGGAGGAGTGTGGAGAGAGACATGCGTGGTTGTGTTTGACTGGGAGATATCCTGATAAAGAGGGTAGTGAGAACGGTATCAAAGAGGGAGAAGTTGCTGTTGGTACTGGCGGGAATAAGGGAAGTGGTGTCTATAGTGTTGATTGGGATGGTGAGAGTGCTTCAGTTGAAGTTGTCAAGCTGCTCGATGGATTCAAGGAGGAAGGCCTTGTGGAAAAGCTCTGGAAAGATCAAGAAAAAGAATTTATCAGAATTACTGGTGTAGCTTTTATCTAGGTTCCTAAATACAGTTTAGTTATTATTAATATTAGGACAGCTAAATAGGCGTTTCAGGCAGACCATTGTTCTCAACGTAGGCGCTGACTGCCATGACGAGTGATCTTATGTCTGCATCGGCAACACACGTAGCATACCATTAAAATTTAACGTTGATTTTACTATGTATGGTAAGACAATTGTTAACCAATATTCATAGGTCCTCCTCCAAGCGACTGTCTGCTTGTGACTGCCGAAGCATCGACTTTTCTCAAGGCATCACATCTCCGTATCGTCATCGTCGTCATCTTCTATGAAGAAACTCTCCATTTCCAAATCATCCATGGCATCGCCACTCTTGGGCCTCTTGGCGATCTCATTCTTAAGCACGTTGCTTCCTGGTACATATAATTAGAAGGTTCGGTGGTCAACGGACATGTACGGTTCTTACCGATGTAGTCGCCACTCTGGACGACATCCTTAGACACCTTCCCGAATTCAGGCCGTTTGAAAACACGCGAGAGCAGTGAGTCGACTCTCTTGATATCCTCCTTGGTGATGTCTCCCTTCTTCATGTTCGCGATACATCTGTGAAGCCGAATGGCGACGTTGTCTGGTAAATCTTGACCTTTGAGTCACAATGCAGCGCTTGTAGTCCGTTTCTCATGATATCGAGTTCTCCTTCCACATGATTCATTGCTTATTCCGTTGTCATAGATGAGAGTTTCGCTCTCTTCCTGCCCTTTTGCGTACCAACAGTTGTCTTCAGTGCACTCTTCAATTCCAACAGAGATTCTCTCAGACTGCCAATCTCGATGTTTGCCGGTCCTTCGTACGTAGATGCCGTAGTTGCAAATTGGATATGCCGAGGGCGTAGATGTAGCAGGCTTCGAAAACAGAGATGGAAAGGATAAAAGCTCACAACTGCTGTGCAAGTGTCAAACTATCTGGTATTCGCATCGATGATTCAGGGGCTAAACATAAACCCACGTGATCCTTAGGATCTTTAGGACCCTTAGGGTGAGATATGTATGTACTTAACTCTCCCCTTCTTCGAGCTTCCTCTCTCTTGACTTGCCTCTTCGCACACCTCGACTTTCTTTTTCAACCCCAGTCCCTGCACCTTGTATACAGATAGTTCCACTTCCATCAATCCTGATTCTTCCCCATACTCCCTCGCCCACTCACTCACTCTAATCGCACACTTTGAGTTTTCCTCGTCTTCTCATCTATACAACACATATCGCCTCTAGGGTCGCTCTTCAGTGCAAATACACCAGCCACGCTTCGCGCTTCGGTCCCTTCTCATATACTCTGATTTCGGATAGTGTCCGTACATATTCTAAGATGGCAGAGAGTCCTGTATCGGGAGCTACCCGCGAGGAGCCCAACTTCGACAACCACCCACAGATAACTGATGGTTTTCGCGACATTGCCACGCGCACCGAGGATCATTACATCGAGACATAGATATTTGGGATTTATGCATTTCACATTCAGTCACCTTTTGAGAGAAACTATAGGAGGTAAATTACTTCAGGGGGCCTCTATCAATCGTCATCGTTCATTCTTCTCAAGCAAGTTTTATATATCTGATGTTGGCCTTAACTCGTCACCCAGTCTCCCTTTCTCAGACTCGCCGACCATTGTACACAGAGCCGTATGTACAGCGGAGATAAGGGAGGGAGTCAGTCCAGCTAAGAATATACTCCTTGCAAGCCCAAATATTTTTGATAAGTTCATCCCCTGACGGCAGCATAGGACAAGCGGCGAGGTCTAGCCAGTCAGTTAAGGGGTTGTATGCGTTGTAGTCAGAATGAAGTCTTTCGACCCGGCCCGTTCTTTTGTTCGTCGCCAGCACTCCATAACCAACATTTCTGGAAAGTTTGTCGGCCATTGGCGCCAACGCGCATACGCTCACCATAGACAGCTGAATGGACGTTTTAGACAGACCGTTTTTCTGAGATTTTATGGATTGGCCTCGGCAGTGCTCAGGATGATAATGAAAAACTCACTAATAGATAGCTTGCAATGACCTCTCAAGAATTAACCTTACCTGACAAGGATTACTATGCCGCCATCACCGTTTAAGCATTGATATCAATGCACAGGACGGGCAAGGGGGGGGGGGGGGAAGAAAACTCAGGATCTTGACCCTAAGTGACAAAAACACTTAGGTAAGTTAGCATAAAGTGAGTCTAAATTTAGTAGAAACTTAGGATACCTTTTACTAAGTTTATTTTGTCACCTCAACTGAAGGTCCGGTGTTTTCTTGCTCCCTGAGGACAGGCCCGATACTTCGGCTTCATCGGGAGTCAAAATCATAAGACAATGAGACACCAAAAAAGACCCGTTCCAGATGCCACTCTCTCGGAGCCATTAAGCGCCGACTCCCCGAGATCTACCGTTGAATTCACACTAGCTATTCGCTGGCTCACACAACGGATGATGCTGAGACTTGGGGGCTGTGCTGATATGACAGTAGCATGATGGTGGTAGTGGTGACAGACACGCGTCGCTCTAGTGGTGCGCACAACTAAGAAGAGCTAAGGTGTGGGCTAACGCGCAACTCCAAGGGCTTCAAGTGATATGATAACAGCTTCTCTTCATATTCGTTGTTGCTATCAATAGATATGTATACGTACAGATATGGAATGGAGACATCGTCTGTAGCTACACTTCATTCTGATCGTTATCATTATTGCGGCTCTCACTCCCAAACGCCCAAGGCCTGCGGATATCGTGTATGCCATCATGCTCGCTATTAAATCACCACCACCAAGCTCTCTCTCCTCACCCCCCACTATGATGCCGTCTCGATAGATGATCCCTTTCTCTTAATCTCCTTTTCAGGATCAACTCCGAGTTCCCACTCTTCCCTCTCCCGCTTCATGTCTCTCTTACACCACTTGATCGTGATAATACCCCAAACAACGGCCCACAAGAATGGAACTGCCCATGCAACACCATAGGCGCCGGTTGCCGGAACTTGTGGAATGACGGATATGACGGTAAGGGGGACGGCGAGTACTAGCGCCGGGATGGACCAGAACCAGGATTGTTTGTAGACCATCTCTCGGAAACGTGGGCTAGCTTTGTATCGAGCTGCTAATGCTTCCCGATAAGGCCGGCCACCAAGGGCATTAACCGCGATAACATCCTCGATGAAGTAGTAAACACCTGGTAAGACCTGCATAGAATTAGCATATGGCAAACTGCTAGTTTTGTGCTTTTCAACATACCTTTTCTCCCTTCGCAGTTGAGCTGATGCGGAAAGGAGCTGGCCAGTTCATCTGGTGGTAAAGCGTAATGAGGAACAGAACACCACCATAGCAGTAAAGAATAGCTGGAGCAGGCATGCACAGCACTCTCAGCCAAACATTGTGAGGTGCACTGCCAATGATGAACAAAGCAGTGACCACAAAAATAGTGAGGGTGGAAGAGTACGTCAGCATATCAAAGCACCACCGGTGATTCGTTCCTAGCGGTCGGTAGAACCTATCCACCTTGATCAATCGGAGGGTGCGGATGGCGAACTCCAAGTACGTAGGACCGCCCCAGATTGTAGTAACTACCGCAAAGATGATCCATCCTTCAACGTCCCCTGCATATTTGAGTCCGTAGTATAGAGCTATCGGAACCGCGGATGCGTCGACAAACACCAGGAATGCGAAGATGAAGAGTCGCCAGCGCTTCCAGCCATGATGCCATGTAAACGGGAGCTGAGGCAGCAGATGGGGGTTTTCATCGTAGTACTCGAGTAATGTTGTAGCTCGTCGTCGATATTCTTTTTGGGTGGCGGCTCGAGAATCGTAGTATGCTTCTGCTTGGGGTCGCTGAGCATAGGATAAGCTTCTTCGCGCATCTGAACTCCTTCTAGGAGCATCCGAGTTCCGTCGAACGCCCTCAGAGGTTCGCCGAGCACCTTCAGATGTCCGTCGAGGTAGTTCTGCAAACGCTGAGTCGAGGGGTTCTCGCGGTGAAACTGGTGAGGCTGCCTCCTCTGGAAGGTCGAATCGTACACCATTAGTCGAGGATTGGTGCGACTGCGGGGGGCGAGAGACCACGGGGGGTTCAGGGACATCTGTCGACGAGAGGGCCGAGTCGGACACTGGGGCAAGGCTGCCCCTACGCACCTCAGGCATTGTTGTATAGGGATGTGGTGTTTTGCCTTGGGTGGTGTTGGTGATGATGAGAAGAGGAGGACGAGATGGCCAAGTCGAGAATGAGGTGAGGTAAACTGGAGATCAAGCTAAACCAAACCAGACCAGATAACTTGGTTCTAGGGAGAAAATGGGAAAAATGTGTGGAGGGTCGATCATAAAGAGAAAAGGGCCCATTTCAGTGGCAAAGTTTAGTTTTTAAAGCTAATCGTGTGAGGCGGGCGGGTTGCCATGATACTTATTTAGAGGTCTAAAGTTAGGTACATAGCATGATCCTGATGAGACGGGCCCAGACAGAGACGGACGGGCCCCAACGACAAAAGAGTCTGACGTGCGGATGCAACGGTACAGCAGCTAAACAACTAGAGAATCAGCTATCATCACCCATCAGGGCCATCAGAGGTCATTTTAATGCGGTGTAACCGCTAATAATTACAGGGGCTTCCAGCTGTGATTTGCGAATGACGTCCTTAAGCCGTCGGGCTTTTTCCCCCTGTGGCCAAGGAAACCAACCGCAGCCAAGAATACTGTCAGTGCTCGCCAAGCGACGTCATTGTCGGGATGTATGTGGGGCCGCAACCGGCAATGAAGTCACCGATCGTCCCGCTTACATACAGTACATGGATGACATGACATGATCCTTTCATGGCCTAGATTTAGAGCCAAGAAGAGGGATTTGTCTCGTGAGGCACATCAGGTAAGCTTAACAAATATGTTTAAATTTATTCCTGTCTGCATGCATCTCGACCCTGAAAGTCGGAACGACAGAAGCGTAGACTAAGCATGATAAAAGAAGACTAATCTCACCATGGAATGGTTGACTCAGGATAAAAGCATATATTAAATGGCTTATTCATT